GGTTTGTGTACGACGTCAATTCCTAAAGGTTTGAAGAGTCTTGTAGTGATTTCTGAGATATCCTTTATATATGGTAAGGCGATTTTCTTTGTGTTTTCCTTGGTGGCTTTTGCTTTGGTAGGTTGGCTTGGGGGTATATGTCTCTTGATGAAATTCCGTGGATATCCATTCTTTTGGAAGACGTCCATGAGATACTTTTCTTCAATTTTTCTTAAGGTGGGAGTGCTGCAGTGAGTCCTTGCTCTCTTGAATAGTGTTTGTATGCAATTCCTTTTGTGTGTTATTGGGTTGTTGCTGTTGTAATTCAGTATTTGGTCTGTGTGAGTTGATTTCCTATAAACTTGAGTTTCTAATTCTCCTGTAGTTGTTCGCCTGACTAAGACGTCCAAAAATGGTATTTTGTTCTCGGATTCCTCTTCTCTTGTGAATTTGATGTCGTTGAAGACGTTGTTTATTAAGTTGTGAGTTTTATCTAATTCGTTTCTTTTGATTATTACAAATGTGTCGTCGACGTAGCGTATCCAAATCTTGGGTTTGATCTTTGGTAGAATTATGTTTTCGAGTCTTTGCATCACTGCTTCTGCAATCAAACCTGATATTGGCGATCCCATGGGTGTTCCTTTGACTTGTTCATATATTTGGCCGTTGAATTGGAAGTATGTTGTTAGGCATAGATTTATGCATTCCATCCAGCTTGTGTGTTGCATTTTTGATTGTTGTGGAAGTTGTTCGTCGTTGCTAAGTAATTGCTCCATGGTTTCTTTTGCTAGTTTTTGTCCGATGGAGGTATATAATGCTGTCACGTCGAAGGATACCATTATTTCTTGTTCATCTATTTGGATGCCTCTGATTTTCTCTAGGAATTGGATAGCAGAGTTGATGCAGTGATCACAAGAAACACCTAACTGAATCTAACATAGTTAATTCTCCTTGTTCATTTTCGGATTCAAATGTGAATTTTATTCCCTCCACTAGTGAGTTTATCTGTGTCAAGAAGCTAGAGATATGTTCTGTTTTTATTACTGTGAAAGTGTCATCCACATATCTACACCATATTTTTGGAGCAGGATTAAATGTATTAGGAGCCATATTTTCCCAGCTGTCCATAAATATGTCTGCTACAATAGGGGATATTGATGATCCCATTGCTACACCTTCTGTTTGTCTATATATTTTACTTTGGAGTTTAAAGATAGTAGATGTGAGGCATAACCGAATCCCTAAAATAATTTCTTCAATGGACAGCTTTGTCCTATGATTGAGTTCAGGATCAGCAGTTAGTTCTTTTTTAACTGCTTCTAAAGCCATATTGATTGGTATATTAGTATAAAGACTAGTTATATCAAAACTAACCATTTTTTCATCATTCTCTAGTTGAATGTCGTTTAGTTTACTTTTCATCTCATATGAATTAGTTAGTCTAGAATTTGAACGATTTCTAATGAGGCATAATATTAGAGCTAAGTGTTTTGATAATTCATATGTAGGGGTATTTCTAAAATCTACTATTGGTCGTATGGGGTAACCTGGCTTATGCATTTTTATAGTACCATATATTCTACTAGCATTATTAGTTTTAGGCATTAAATTAAACCATTTTGACTCACCCAGTGACGGCTTCATTCTGCGTATAAGTTCTGCTGTAGAGTTCTTAACCTTATTCATTATTGCGTCTACAGGCTTCTTAATTTCCTCATATGGACCTGTTTGAATATGTTCAGTAACTTTTTTGATATTGTCAGATTTATCCAGAACTACGGTGGCGTTTCCTTTGTCAGCTTTTGCGATGACAATATTTTTATCCTGTTTTAGATTAATTAAAACTTCTCTCTCCGATTTTGTTAAGTTTGATCTTGCCTTCTTTTGATTTTTCAGGGTTAATGCACATTGTGCTCTAACCTCTTCTGCTGTCGTCTTATCTATTGAGCTTAGCGCTACTTCTATGTTAGGAATGACATCCTCTGGTTTTAATTTATTAACTGTTACGTTGAAATTTAGTTCTTTCTTAAGTACTTTTATCTCACTAGAGCTGAGTTCCCTTAATGAGAGGTTGATCACCCACTTTGTTCTGTCGATAGAGGATGAAGTGTTGACGTCAATTTCATTTGTTTTGTTCTTTTCTTCAATAAGTTTGTTGAATTTTCGGATTTGTGTGATTTTTGGTTTTCTTAAGGCTGATTCTATAGCTTTTTCGGATGTTTCAACAAGGATTGCATAATCTTTGTCATTGACCATATATTTGAGTTTCTGTTTGAGTTTTTATATTTGATTTCATGATATATACTTATACCGATAAATATTACTACAGGGGCAGTCAAATGCAATCTCATTTCTGAGCAAGAACTGGGACGTTGGACGAATGCTCCTCTTGAGTACATAATGTCTTAATCAACAATATTTAAATTCCAAGTTAATATATGCAAAGAAATTGAGAAAGCTAGCATCAGGTAAACAATATTTCCGGTTGTGGCAGATATATTTATGGATAAATGGTGAAACGTATCGACTGAATTATTCGGCTCCATCCCAAAAGTATGGTGGAGGTAAGTAGATGACTCATTCACTGTACTTTTAGCACAACATATAGATCGATTTTTCGAGCACATCATCTCGAAGGTAGAGGCAATTCAATTCACTTATGTATTGAAAAGTCGGAAAGGGGAGCTTTCAATATTAGATTGCAGTGTAAAAAGTAAAGAAGATGGGAAGTTCAAAACTAGTGCTTACAGGAAACCCACACATTCAAACAGATATTTGGACTTTCGATCACCTCATCCTGTGTCAGTGAAAGTAGGATTGGTGAAATGTTTAAACAATAGAGGACAAAAATTAAGTAGTACCAAGGAAAATCTAAGACAGGAAGTGAGGCATGTAAGAGACGCTTTGAAACTTAATAATTTACCTGATACATTAGTCAGAAAGGATGTAGGGAAATGTAAAAATGAAATATATAATGATAGTAGTGATATTGGTGATAATAATATTGATAATAACAATAATAGTAATATTAATGATGACATGCATATCAAAAATGGTCAGGATGGTGATAACACCAACAAAAAGGAATCTAAATCATCAGTAGTAATGTAGTAGGAAGGAACCTCGAAAGCCTTACGCAGAATTCTTAACAAGGCAGGAATAAAAGTGGCATTCAAAGCCACAAACTCAATTAGAAACAAGCTTTGTCGGTTAATGGATGAATCCTGTGTAGCCTTTAAAACAAAACGATTTAGTTTACCTAATACCCCGCAGTGATTGTCAGGTCAAATATATAGGTCAAACTAGTAGAACAGGGGCAGTCGAACTAGCCGAACATGAAAACCTAGCAAAATCTAGATCAGTTGACCCGAATAAGAAATCTAGCGAATAGTTCAGCCGTAGACAACACTTCATGCAATTATACACAACCACACAACAGGATGGGATGGGATGACAGTTTTAAAATCTAATGTCACAGGGTAAAGAGGGAGATTGATAACAGAAGTTTTGTTTATCGAATCAACTGCAAATGCATGTAATAGGAATGATTCGACACCTGTCCCAGCTTTCTGGAAAATTCTACTACCCCTACGACAAATAGGACAGGACAAAGAAAACCTTAAAACTCAAGTTTCGAAGTCATGTGTTTATAATTGATATGATTATGAACAATAAATTTTGTTCGAAACGTCAGCCAGTAAATAAAACTGTTTCACAGTGTGATACATTTTATAAACCAACTAATACGGAATTACTTACAACCCAAGTGCCCAAGTTTTACACATAAATGACTATTCATTTGCGAAAGTATTTATGGTGTAACTTGACATATGCTCGGCAACTCTTCTGGTCTACTCCAAAACGTTTCTTTAGGTTCACCTTGCATTTGGTAAAGCTGACATTGTGTTTTGAACACAGTGTATTTCATTCGATTTTTACCTTTTCCAAAAGTAGTAATTACACTATCAATGAACACTGTCGCAATCCTTCTTAGCAAGAGAAATTGTTTCTTTCGCCTACATGGTACGAATTCAAGTGTGGCTTCTATCATGTAATCACGAATTGAATAGTTCTATTTTTCAATTAATTCGCCCTGCAGTATATCGTATTTAGTGTACCTCGTATAGCAAGAGTTTAACTAAATCTGTAATGATTTCATTTTGATTTTCACTTCTTGGTAAAAATGTTTGTCACAGCAAAATAAATGGCATCAACAAGGCAATTCGTACTTGTTGTCAGTGTACACTTGTCTTTCTTTTCTTGCCGACATATGTATTTAAGTTTTAGGTAAGAACAAATCTGTTTGCCATAAGTTTCATTCATAAATCGAAGCAGCTGAAATTATTTAAGGGATTGAATTAAACGAACTCTCTGTACTCATAAACTCCCCATTAAAATTTGATATTTCTTTTTACTGTCGAGTAATATGTATTCACATACATAGAAAGAATTCAATATTTACATGAGTTCTATTTCACCTTCTTTCATCCTCTTCACTAATCTGAGTCGGTGGTACAGTGGTTAGGACTCTCGCCAACGACGCTTATGGTTCGGAGTTTGATCCTCTGTCGATGCACACCTGATATCTATAGACGGCCTGCAAAATCTGGGCTACGGATATCACATGCTGGAAATTCCATACATGTACCAAAAATTTGGTGTGGAATCAAGCCAAATTCAAAAAAATAAATGAAGAAAATAAAAAGAATCGAATCCAAATATTTTGAAAGCTTGTTCTAACATTTTGTTGTGAATTGATGAATTACACTCATATTCTAACATCTTCAGAAATTTTGAATTTCTCAGATAAATTAGGTATGAAAAATAATTGAATGAACTATCAGTAACAATTAACTTCATCTCTCAGTGAATATCATTCATCATAACAATATTTTTTATAAAACAGATCGATGATGGAAGCAAATAATGAATTTCGATCGTTTTGTTATTCCGAATATGCAAAAATAAAACATATTCAACTTTGCTTTCTCTGTAATGTTGGATATCTTTTTTTCTACTAGTTTCATTGGTGCACTATATCATTGTAGCGAAAGAACGTAAGTCAGTGTTGATTCCGTTGACTGGCATTGGCCTGAGTTTAAAATAGTATAAATAAATGTGTTCAGCAATGTTCCCTCGAAGTACCTTACTTAAACAATTCAAATAGTATTTTCTAAATTTGATTGAGTTTCAAAGGAATTCACTGGTTTATTTTACTGCAGTTTATAATTACTATACTTCTCATTTTACACTTTGAGTGACATTTTTCTACATGATTAGATTTCTAGTAGATCATTCATATAGTCACGTAATGTGCATACTAAATGTCTTCATTTGGAAGAAATGTGTAGACCACCATCAACAGCTTTTGCCTTTCAAGTGCTATTAGTTTATTAATGGGAGGGGGCACATCATTAGAATTCGCCGGTCACTTATGTCAAAAAATGCTTATCAGCTACCAATAACTTTTGTTACTTCCTCAAGTTCTCAGATGCCTATTTATCTTTTTCAAAACCTCATACAAATATCTGTTTCTCTGGTGAAAAATCACAAAGGTTTTCAAAAACACCCGCTTGAGGCTATTACGTTTCTATCAAAACTAAAATGAATCTTTGTTTGCGATCACGCTTTTTATGTTCCCTATAAATTTAAATTCTCTCATCCCAATATAGTAAAAGCTATAGTTAAGAAGAGTGAGCGAAGTATTTCACCGTTTTTTCCATGCCTTTTTATTTTACCTGTATATCTGTGTTACTCAAAGAAGTCCAACATTGACATATATTCCAAAATATTGTCTCTTCAACTAAGAATAATTCTTTTGCAGTAAAGTAGAAGTGATAACAAAAACAATTAAAGTCAGACGAAATCATGAGACTGACGCAAGAAGTCTGCTGTCAGACTGATCGTTGTAGCATACCAAAGTTACCTCCGAAGGATAATTCCGTATAACAATTTGCGTTATACTGTTCAAAACATTTAGAAGTTGAGTATTCCACTAAATATTAGAGCCAGTTAAACGATGATTGGATGATAAGTATCACATACTTAACGAAAACTGTCTCCATACGCAGTGTCGCGGAAAATGCTTTAAGTCATGTTTCAGTCACTGAATTGACGAGTCCCGATTATGATGAAACACGCACGCCTTATTATGAAATGGCCTTGTGGAAGGACGAATATTTTTATTATTGTTGCACTCGATACCATGCATCGATATTCAGCTTGTTCACGAGTACTGATTCCTTCTTCACATGATTGTCTCCATAATACTCTCGGGTCCACAACTCGTCTAATCCTATTCATTCTGCACTCAAATTTACACTCAAACAGTGTAAAAGTAATGCGAAGTCCACAGTCTGTCAATAATTACTTCGAAAAATAACAAAGTTTTCACAACTTAACTGTTTCTATGGAATTGGAAGACACATTTAATTCCGTTGATTTTCCAATGGAAGTGATCGATATTCTCAACTAAAGTCATCAAAAATATACCTCAAACAATCTCCACGAAGCTTGAGGTGCGATTACTTTAAGTAGAATAAATAACTTATGCAGCCTAAGTGTTTTTGTAAAACAACCATGTAACAGATATTTTCCTACACGCTTTTGACTTTGTAAATTTCCCAACCAACTCAGCATGTGGCACTACAGTGAGAGTCGTCATTGAAACCATTTGTTACATCTCTGGCTGATACCTGATTAAACTATGAGTACTCCTCATAAATGAATTTCACCAACACCATCATCGGATACGAAATGAAAACCTCGAGGTCTGGTCATGGCTTTTCCTTATCAAGTGCTAATTTTTTCAGGTCACTGAACATACTTGTGCGTTTTCTGACCTCACACATTTGGAAATAGAAGCCAGAAACGTTTTCTGCCTATATCAAAACTTCAAAATTATGCCTCCGACATTTTTGTAATCACCATGATACGACTGTAGACTGCAATGTGCATCACTCCCAGTAAATGTTGTATTTTAAATTGATGAAACATTCAGAAAATTACAATAACACTAAGTTTATTGTTTGACCCTAGAGACCTGAATTTGTTACCTGAACATCAACACAACTAATATGGCTAAATATTTGATTCCTTAACTGTGTTGAATGTGCTTGAGTGGCTTGTAAGTGCGATGCATAGTGATACATCAACTAGAAGACTAAAAAATTAGAGTGATCTGAAATCTGTTTACGATTCTTAGTGTTATTCTTATTCTAGTGTCAAATGATTGTTAAAATCTTTTTGTTTATCGTTGTTGTACACATTAGATGACATTAACTGTGATACATGCTGACTACTGACCTTTTGTATTTCATTTAAAAATAAGAAAACAAAGCACATTCATTGTGGCCTTCGGATGTTGTGATGCAAACGCGTGAACATAATTACACGACAGTACATTTGCAAGTAACATTTACTCAAACAACCGAAGTCATATATCTCTTCAAAACAAAACAATATTAACGAGTTAAAGACGTGCAACAGTTACTCTATAACATGTTTTAAACCGAAGTATGATATGTTAAGATTGCCTTTGAATGTAACACAAAATGATTACAATCAAGTGTAAACAAAGTATAGGTACTCAGGAAGAGATGTTTCGCTCCACTAAAAACAGAGAAATGTACTCAGAAAAGATTCAACAGTATGTTAATAACTTTGCTTTAACACTTTTCCTCAATAAATGACGTATGACAAATAACTAAAGGAAAAATTTTACTTGAAATTTACTCACTGAAACAGCTTCTGCCACAACAAATAAGTTTGGTCACATAATATATTCACTTTTCAACACTCAGTGTAAACGATAGGTTGGTTGTCAAGTAGTAAACGGTAATATTATTGACGTTCAAGTTTGCTGGCCACTTAAGTGAGGCTTTACGGAAGCAGCAGTACCCGTGCGGTTAGTGTGAGAGAGTTCGTGTTGTCAAAATGTGTGTTTTAACAACATGCATAAAGTCACACCCTACTCAGCTACGTGCATAGGATGTTTTACGCTTGCATTTTACATAATTAAAACGACAATCAATGTTATTCACCTTTCCTTGTAAATATTATCTCACCACAAAATATATGTCGATAAATGAAGTTGAGTAATTATTAAATTAGAAGTCGGAAATTTGAGATGCTTTCTGGGAAGCATATGAAAAGTTTCATCGACGGAAATTACTTAATATATTATATCATTTTACATGTTGAATAATGTTTGACAGTACAACGATATTATTGTATTAACCTTTAAACTGTGAAGTGGTTGTCAAGTGGCCTACTAAATGAACTGAGGTTAACAATGGCAATTTGGTGAATGATGGCTGTTAGGTAACTGAATCATCATAAAACTAGATAACATAACCATCTTATTTCAGATTTAGGTGACAGGAAAATCGGAATCATAAAATCACAGATACACCTCGTGTAGTCGGTAATACATCCATTTTATTGAGACCACCTCCTAACTACTTCACACATGACACTAAAGAAGGACGTTTTCTTAAAAAGATGAAGACGAAATAGATATTTCCGCGCCATTCTGTGCTCCGTCAAGTGGTAAGGTGTAGCACTGCAATTTGGCTCGCAAGTAATTTTCTAGAACCACCTTATCTAAGGTGAGGTTTTTCGTGCACAACACCTTTTATTCTTTCCAAGGCTTCAAAACTTTAATGTTTCGTTGTTTTTGATAGAAGCATTATTTTACACCACTTCTTGTGGAAGATTAAATAATATACCCTTTGAAGTTCGACAAGAGTGATCTCATTCCAGTCAGCACATAGCTTTCTATTTTCTCACACCTTAACCATTAGTGGTATAAGTATGTCTGTTGAGCTGTCTGAGTCCATTTTCATGGTTTCGGAGGAGTAGCTTTTAGTTGAGCTGCTTCTGTTTTCGCAGAATGACCGGTTTCAGCTGTCAGATACCTGTGTGCTTCGTGTAAATATAGATGGGATGTGTTGATTTCTTTCTATATTAGTACCTCATTGTATGATATAATGTTCTGATTTTCCTCCAACGTGCAGCTTGTCCTGCCTTATTTTCCAGTGTGTCGTAGAATTAACTGTTGCTTCTGCTGGCACTTGTATTTAGTACTTTGTTCAATGGGTTTTACATAAAGTCCAGGTCCTCCTTCTGTTATTCATCTTTGCATTGGTTCATCTTCTGTCTCATTATTCTTATTACCCCTACTGGCTTCACATGTTTGTAGAGAGCCACTCTCTGTTTTGCGTATTCTATCTATTCTAGGAGGGATCTGCAACTTTACTTTCATATAACTTTCAGAAATTTCTAGTTTTCTTCCAAGAACGTTTCCTGGATTTATTGAGAAATAACAATAAATACATTTCGTAGGTTCTTAGCCCACATTCACTTGTCAATCGAATTCATATAACAAAAACAAGTAACAATATGATTCAAATAAAATTTACAAAACAGTGGGGTTAATAAACCTGATGGAATCACTCTCACTTTGTCCCATGAATCACAGTTCTTGCATAGGAAACGAAGTGAACATGCCGAAATTAAGATAGAAAGGCAAAACAGAAGTTGGAAATATTTTCTACTCAAAATCTTCACGTCTAACTGCGAACGAGAGTTTTAATCGTTTATTATGTTTTATATCTACCATCTAGCTAGTCAATCAACAACGAGTGGAACAAGTGAGTTAACGATGATGTATTACACTCATTTCTGTTGACCATAAGTGTTACTAGGGACTTAATAGGCGTCCATTTTTATAAAAACTACCAACAGTCATTCACTGTGTTAAAGTTTCAGGAAGTGACAGACATAAACAATTGATGAAAAATTTGCAATCTTATTGAATTGAAGGAAACCCAGAATAACAATAAATGATTATGCGAATGCACACTGTTTTAATGCAGACATAGTTGTATTATACCTAATTTTATTCCGTCTGTACATCAACTGGGGAAGATATTTAATTGTCTAAAATGTGAAAAAGAATAATGTAAGAGGGTTCACTTGTGACCTGCTTTGTTCTCTGTTAAATAATGCGTTCACCTTCATGACTTGCAATTTCACGTAGTACACTGTACATGAGTTAACCTTTCAGTAGCTAGAAATTACATTTGTTAAAATTACTGAGTAGGTAAACCGAAATATCTGTCTCTGTATTACTGTTTCTGGCGTACATCGCGATCGAAACATTCATAATATAATCATATTTATTGGCCAAGATACGGTCGAAATTTGAGTGGTAAATGTTGTCATATCATCCAATCTGGGCGGTGAATTATAATCGTTTTCGAAACTACCGGTTGTCTTTGATTTCTTCCATATATCCTACTAGTCTCATGTCTTTGTACTCATTTCGGCTCCTACAGATACCTAGAAAATATGTGCTGCTTGTATTGACCCTACTCATTTTCCAACAATACTGTTACACGGTTGCAATGTACAGATAAACGTGGATTCATGCGTTACAATCCATATAAAGACTCACTTTAAAGTACTTGCAGCTGATAAATTACATGATGTAAAGTCTATTGATAAATCACTTCGAATTTATCAAAGTATACGACTAGTCAGAAGTTGCCTCACACATAGAGTAATCAAAATGATGAATGAGGATGATAAGGAGAATAAATGCTTTTGAAACTAAAGGTAGCAATTTCCAGTCATAGCAAATAATTGTTCATCACTTCTACGAGTTGATTACAGATTGATATTAATTAGACAACCACTGAAAACCATGGAGTACTGGACAGTTGTTTCATGCGAGTATGTGACCATTGGCAGTGGGGTCCGAACCCAGAAAATTCTCGTTACAAGCCAAGCAAGGCAATCTGTTGTCAGCTCGTAGAAACAAAAGTGATTTTTCCAAACCATCTATAGAAAGTTATTCTGATGAATATTATTTGTCAATTGGATTTCATGATTACAAGTAAAACATGGTATTTTAATTGAAAATAAAGGTTCACCTGCGAAGAATACTAACATACGTAAGTCAATATCTACAAAGTATACTGTTTGTTCGAAGTCACAAAAGTATCAAAGTGACAAGAGAGACAATGTATTTTCATACTGTACGTATAATTTATTAAATTGTTGTGTTGTTTTTGCTGTATAACATCGGTTTACCTGACAACAGCAAAGTTGGCACTACTGCAACAACAAAGAATGTCTTTTAAATTTCACATCCGTTAAGATTAACACAAATAATCTAAAGGATAATAAAATAAACATCGACAGAACAGACATTCCCTGTCGAAACTGTTTAACATTAACAAGTAATGACTCATTACTCCAAAAGAATAATCCTGAATATTCCCTGTGTTACATTGAAAAGAAAAGACTGAAGGGCAATGCATATAAATTTTTCTTTGACAAGAGGACAAGTGCTTGACTTCATTTTTTAGTAACAATGAATCTTAAACGACTAAAAAGATTATTGGGTCTGGGTAGCACTATTTAATGACGGACCTCACCTGAAGAATTGAAAATTCAGCAATACATTTCGATACATCTGACCACAACTGTTTTTAAACTCAATTTATGTGGAAATTGGAAAACAAAAGAATAAGTGAAGTAAACAATAAATAAGGTACACAAAAATAAAGCGGACAGTAACTGGCACCAATCGCATTAGTATAATGGGGTAGGGATTACCAAGACACGTTAAGTGGCATGATAAATTGCATCTTCACAGACAATTAGGGCTTAATTTTAGAAATAGCTATTGCTTTATTTTATTTGATCAATTAGACTGGAGTTTTGAAAGGTTAAAGCATATTGTTTTCTGTACACACAAATTCGAACGCATGCGAATAACTCCGCGTGATTTCGTCATCTTTTTTAACTTCATTATTCTACATATATTATTAAAGTACCATTTTTCCATTTTGACAAAGATTGAATGAAGAAGTTGAAGGGCGATGAGGCACTTGAAGTGTGTTGCTCAAACTGTTTTCACTCAAAACGTCTCCCGAGAACTAAGACCATTGAATTATCACGGGTTATTTTTACAAAATGTCTCTTTCCTTATCATTCAAAATTTGTTTTGGATTGTAGAAAAAATTCCACTCCCCAATAGGAGACGTAAGTTCCATCTAGAAACACGTTTTTTTCTTCTTCATCTGTTCATCTGAAAACTTACATCCTACTTGTCAATATGTATGCGAAACCTTTACATCATGATGGTATGTAATTCCATATTGAATTGTAAATCAAACAGTAAGAAAAAACAGTTCCTCAACAACATATGACTCAGCAAAACGAATAATCAGAAGTATAAATGAACAAAAGTAGATTCAAGTGGATTAAAGTGGAAGAACTCTACTTCATAGTCAATAATCTAAAATCAGAATGTTAAAACTGGAAGAAAATTAGCAACCAGTCAAACTGAAAATGCTGGTGCTGATGAAGTCGGAATGCGTAGGGTGCATAGAATTTATAAGCAGTAGAAATTATAACACTGATATGGTGAAACTAGAGAAATTCTCTCCAAAATCTGAAGAATAATACCAGTGTGCTCTGAAATGAATCTCATAACTCTGTGTACCACAATAGATATGGAAACGCCAGACCACTTAACTGAAACCAACAAAATCACATATACAATTAAAAACACAGATATGAATAAGCTTAGATAAGTTGTCATGAATAATAAGCCATAAGTGAAAACTCTTAATCTTGCATCTTATCCATGATGTATGAGAATGAACAATGCTCTACTGCTTATTCGAATTAGAACAGAGCAAGAATAATTCAAATATTTGCAGGATATCATCAGTTATAGAAATACATGGAAACAGATGGTAAAATTGAGAAATTATTTCAACTCAACAGGTATAACAGCAGAATAAGAGGCATGGATACGAAACAGTTAACGACCCAATAACCAGAGTTAGTTGGTGCACAATATGATGAGAAGGTCGAGAAAAGAGAGTAATAATGGAATGATACGGCTATTTAAAGCAAAACTATTACGTAAAAACAATTAAGTAAATTGGGAGATTACTAATGCCTCCATCTCAGACTTTAATGAAAGTCACGAAACAGTTGTGCAGAAACACGAAATAGAGAAACCACAATAGGTATCTAGCTACCAGTGTAGTGAGATATTACTCACCTTATTTTTCTGAATATAGTGATTAGGCTGAAATGGTTTCATAAAACTCACTTCTTCAAAGCGAAATTACCGAACAGGCAAACCTTCAAATTATTCCCTCCACCAAAAAGAACAGGTTATTTCGCTATCAAACGAGTCAAAATGCTCGCATCGAACTTATTCCCTGAAGGGAAATTATATGTATATATACATACATGTGTTTGTATAAAAACTGACTGAGGGTCACTGTGCTATATCGCTAGTATGACACTATTATAGAGAATAAAAAATAGAAAACCCAGAACTTATATGAGTGAATTCTTGAAAGTTTTTATTGAGTACTAGGATGGTCTTCACCAAGTACTCTTTTTCATGTATGAGACTAGTCAGTTTTTCTTTTATAGCATTGTACTCTAGACACTAACAGTTTCCTCATTTTCAGATATAACATGCCGCAATGAATAAAGGTTTTAATATGGTAGGTGGATTATAAATACAATAAGTTTAGCTGCATTGTTCACAAATAAAGTTTTTAATGTATAATATTATAAGTGAATGTCAAGTAGTCATTGGACAATTTCAGGTATCTATCTGAGTGTGAAAATAAATTCGTGTGCTCAACACTTGACAAGGAATTATTCAGCCTTAATAGTAATGGTGTGAGACATATATCAGACTGACCAGTACTTCATTTACTCCTTCCATCTGAAACATGATGTTAGATTAACCTGAAATTTATTTAAAAAATATATTTCAAATTTACAGAAAAAGTAGAAGAAAAATAAATTTTGTCGTTACTGCTGCTTTCAGTAAGACTTTCAATTCAGATGTTTGCTGATATTAAGTTCCTAAATTAATCGCAGTGCCAAGTATATTATATTTATTACGTCACATTGAATTATGTATCGACAACGGATACTGGGGTTGACCAAAACGCTTGTATATGTATACCCATTATTCAGTTAATCATCTATTGTGTTTCATGTGTACACTCCAAAGGAATGAATTGAGCAGTTGAGCTATGTCTGCTAACCATACAAATTATAAATAAAGGGAAAACTAAAATTGGTGATTAGGTGAAATAACGAAGTAAGTAACACTTGATAGTAGAACCAATTAAACTGTCCTACCCCATTGCTACGAGCCAAAAATCAAACATACATCGAGTTTCATTCAGCATGCAAATTGTGATATTCTTTTGTGTATTTCTTTTGTAGCAACAGCATGCACTAAATCCTTCACTGAAGCATTCAAAATATTCTCTTGTGTGTTCTAGATTTCTGAAGAGAAGTAACCCGGAATTCAACCACTTTCGTTTATTATTTTGCCAACTGAACTGATAATCGATCCAAACAGACAAATTTTCATGTAATTAAGACATTAAATTAGTTCTTTCGTTCTGAGTAACTGTTGCTCACCTAACTTCGTGCTACGTCATGACTTTCTGTTTTGAACTCACTACTAACTTTCATTGCCATTGCATGTTTACATTATCGACTGAATAATTGAATGTTTTTTCGTAGTTTACTGTCATATGATCCTGTTTAACATTAATTTATTTGTCTTAATGATATTATTCACCATGTAAAATACAAGCCAATGAGAATTGTCCGTTGTACCTTCCGATTCACTGAGCCACGAAAATATCAAAAGACAAAGGCTGGCCTGTGAATGAATGTAAAATACCGTACATTTATTACGAAAACTACACATGATATTCACACATTTTTAAGACAATAAAGTCGGCTGGCTGACAGTCGTGAGAAATGATTGATCGATGGCACAATAAGCGACAATATGCGTGAGAAAGGATGATATACTATTTCATGCGGGATCCTATCACTCACTCACTACCCACCTCACTCACTGCCTCCCTTCCTCCTCTCTCTCTGTCACACACACACACACGCACGCACACACACACACACGCAGACACTGGAATTTCCGTCATGTCAACCTCACCTAGGCTGTCTGTCAGTCTGGCGACATACAATTTCTCTATTCTCCTAATTCAAATGTCATCGGAAGCAACCCACTCCACTGTCATCTTCATACTGTCGTGGTGTGATAGAGACAATCTGTGCCAACGGAATGTTATTCCCACATCTTCCCACAGATCGATTCGACAATAGAAAGAGAATACGATGTATCTATTTGAACATGCTATTTTTGGCTGTTTCATGTAAACCGGAATCACACGCTCAGTGATTGGTCAACGGGTATAAACCCTACATATATGTAAACAGCAGTTTGATCAATGAAAATATACCTTGGCTTCCGTGTCTTACCTTCTCCTGTTACAAAAACATCATGATTGAAGATAGTTGTAAGGTCTATTAATATTAATTTTAGAACTACTGGAATTTTTGTAAGTATATTGGTGGTGGTGGTGGTGTTGGTGGTGGCAGTGGTGTGCGATATTTGCATTGCAAATACCACCCATCACATTCATTTTCCCCATGTGCCGCCATTGACTGAGCCAATCTACCTACGACGAATTGACTAGGTTTCGTAGAATGAATCCTGAATCCCACGACATCGAATCGCTCGCTCGATCACTCACTTACTCACTTGCTTACTTACTTACTGTGGTGTGCCAGGCATTGATTAGCTAGCAGAAATACTATACTATATAAACATGGCAGAACAAAACCATCCTTGGATAAATGCAGCTGCAGCAGCAGCCTCCATCATGCTTCGATTTATTCATCCAGGAAGCATTTCACCCATTACATCAATCAATCAATCTATCAATCAATCAATCAATTCAAGTTTTCTTCCTTCTACTCACCTTAGCCCCAGTTGAATACAACTAGATTTCCCATATGACGTTATCAATATCAGTGATGACTTGTTTTCAGGATCCAGAGGGTTCCTTTGAAAATGAAGTCACTTTTACGAAATTCGATGTAGGTTGGCGTAGTGCCACATTGGTTAGGATTCTCGCCTAGCATTCAAAATGTCTAATGTTCGATTCCCTGGCTATGCACACCTGATATCTATAGTCAGCCTGCAAAATTTGGCCTACCGATATCACATGCTGAATGTTCCATACTTGTACGAAAATTACAGTGTGGAATCAAGCTGTAATAAAAATTAAGATAAAATATTGCAGTGGGAAGCAAAAGGAACAATAAATATAATGACGAGCTGGTCATGTGAACAGGCTTGTTATTGACTACATGCATTGTAAGCATAATTTTAATACAATCAAATATCTTACACGTACGTAGATATGTAAATCGGCAATGGTGGATTGAGTGTGGAAACCATTCTGCCAAATATAGTATCAATCAGAGATTACTGTTTACTTGTTGTGTATTTACACTTATTCTGCCAACAATTTTCACATTACTGAAAAGTAGTAAGCAGCATGAGATATACAGTGAATAAAATGGAAGCATTCTTTGCAATTCATCACCCAGTCGGCAGTTGAAATATTCACAAGCAGCATCACGAGAACTTCTCTAATACTTTTTAAAGGAATGTCACTGAAGGTTTGAAGGCAAAAATAGGTGAATTTTGATTTGGAATACAGTAATTATTCTAGTGTCAGACTGTTAATGATTGCCTGAAGCTGCATTGCGAATGAAGTGGATGGATAATTAGTGATAATGGTTGCTGTGTTAATATTTGCGTTTGTGCCATTATCACTGACTGACTTACTTACTTCGAAAATCTAAACACGTACCTATGTGTCAAGCATTCCTGGTGGTAGCTATTGTACCAGGAAGTTGCCACTATATATGTAGTGTGCAATTCCTGACATAGACCAACGTCAATGTCATAAGCACCACACGCATGTTGGTCGGGGCTGAATATTCTTTATTGACATTGCAATAAGAGAAAGTACATATTAGCACTACGTAACAGGGATTAACTCCATTTAGGCATTCGGAGTCAGATGGGATCATAAAGTCAGGTGATCATGCTTATTAAGCACATAGTACCTAACTAGCAATACTTTTGCCATTTTTCAGCTGATAATAAAAACGAAGGAAAAATATATGTAGGAGATCAAGGTTACCAGTTGCTGTTGTTAAGGCTGGCTGACTCTAATGTTCACGACTTTTCAATAGAACACTGCACGCAAATTCATCCATCTGTAGTGAGTCACTAACAAGCTTTGGATCAATTTCCAAAAGTTGGTTTGTTTTCGGGATTTAATTTGTTTCAAGTTTTGTCACAGATTCACATTAGCCGGAGAAACATTGAAACCACCAATGAGCATAGGACAGCTATTCCGTCCTAGTATCCGTAACAACTATGTCTCTGGCGAAGTTGTTCATCTAATCACTCACGAATTAAAGCAGTAGTGCAAATAATGAAAATAGTAATAATAATAATAAGGAATTCAAAGCCTCCATTGTACTATTATTATTATTGTTCCCTTGAGTTCTGAGTGGAACATAGGGCTTTGACCAGTGGAGATTTCCAATTTGTCCTCTGAGTGGCCCCACCTTTAGACAGCCTCTAATCTCCTTCTTGCACGATACCTTCCATGTCACCATCATACACCCACGCAACCAGTCGTCCCCCGTTCCTATTCCAATCAGTTCATCATTCCAATGGATACGAAGCATGTGGTAAAATGTTTCAAGTACAATTGATTTTTATGTAAGTGTTGGTTTGTAGGGATTTGGTTGGTTGCAGAGAACCATTTGAAAACTGGACAACCATCTTGTCCTAGTTTGGAACTCTTCAGCATTCGCACACACCGGGGTCCAGAAGCAGGACCTTCTGGTTACAAGGCGAGTTTGGATACTATTAAGCCACTGAGACCCGATCAAATTGGCCATGAAATGATTTTCTCCTTGTGGTGACCTCATGCAAGCAATGTATCAGTTTTGATTAAAGTCTATTGCACTCATTGTGATCACAGACTAATGCTTCAGGAAGTATAGAAATGCAGGTATGCATGTGAGAAACTCAATGTTTTCAGGCACAATTCCTATTTATCCTTTGAGATTCTGACGATGATAATGATGCCTGACTTAAATTTCCAATTTTGCTATGAAACTGCCCTCTCCTTTCATTGCGATTCACTGATTCATAAAAAGTTATTATACGTCCCACCCAAACCATTGAAAAGATTCCCTTCGTCAATTTGGAAAAGAAAGCAAAGTTCTTAATCCACTGGAATTGAGTTATGTAGTTTTTGTTTCTGTTCTCTAGGGGATCAATAGCTATGGTTGGTCGGACACTGCTGACAGACGAAGATGTATTTTCAGAGCTACATTAAGGATTTAACAACATTACTCATGATTAGACTACCAATGACAAACTGTCTGTGTTAGCAAATACGGGTTTCTGAAGAGCAGATTCAATAACAGCCTCATTTGAAACGCCTATTTCCGTTAGTTTTCAAGCCACCACTAAATAAATAAATAAATATCCTGGCTAAATTTTGCGACGTCACACAAAAAGTATGAAATTGGGGTGTAATTGAAAAAGCATCTCCTACAGCATGTGAACATAGTCATCCTATGAAAACTCAATTGCCTGTCTAATGGATTTTATCAAGCAAATGCTTGCGAAGACAAAATTCAACATACTGTCAGCAACCTGTAACAGTCATTACTATTATTAGCAGCCGCGGTATGTGGGTAAGTCAGCTAGCATGCTCAAGTGATTTTCGAAAATTATCTCAATCCTGAAGACTACAATGTTGACATATTCACATCTGCACCATTTGATTTCTGGGAGAAGGTCTACATTCACTAATAAATAGGTATTATAATGGGGAGAGCAGGGGTGAGACAGGGCAGATGCTAACATCAATCCATAATCCCTCAAACACTCACCGCTATGCTATAAAGAATCTTTGACATAAAAATGAAAGTGTCGAACATTATGCTCTTACAATTTCTGAAGCATATGTGTCAATCGACCATTCCAAACTTGAATGTTTCAGTGTTACCACCTGCTAGAGATAAGCTAATCTATAAAACTTCAAATGACTAAACTTCTAAATTTCACATGGACTGCAAATGTAAGAGCTATAACATAGAGCCCAGGGAAGAGACAGATATATCATAAAACTCCAGGAAATATACAAGTCGCTACCACTACTCCAGATAGATTGTTTAGCAGGGATTTCTAGATCACTTATTCTACTACGGATGACCGGAGTACTCAGGGCTTGTCAAGACAGCTGAATATGCATGAATATATATATATGCAGCATAGCTCTCGAATGTCTTGACTTGGTTGAGGCAGTAATTGCTGCATGTATATTACATTCATTATGCTCTCTGTCTGCTTGATCTAATGACAGGTTATATCATGTATAAGAATATATATATCTTTATTTTTGCCAATACAGGTATGTTGGCATTCAGTGATACCATTTTCATATTACTGAAACTTAATGACTATACATTTCTTAGGAATAGACACTTTTGAAATTCCGTGTTAGTGAAAAGTGAGTTGTCATTCGGCCCCCATAATAATACTACTTGTATCGTCAACTGGTAATTCAGCGTCGTGTGCTTCAGAATATAAATGGAATTTACCGTGTCTTAAATCAACATATCATGTGGGTTATGACATGATATTCCGCTACACTGCCTGATTTCTTTCCAATTATTATGAATAGAATAAAATCTTTTTACAATATGCGTGTAAAATTAATTCCCTTCGTTACAAAGAAACTGGTGATCTCCTGATTGATGGCCACTTCTAAATTGACTTATCAAAATAACTAATACATCACTTCATTCGACATTTTATTAATTTCCATTATTAGAAATGCGGACCGGAGATCGCAAGCAGAATATATTTCTTAAACTATCAAAAATATGCCTATGACTCATGCTTAAATATTTGTGATAGGTGCGTATCACAGACAGATACAGTTGTGTTGGCTTTGGATGAAGATAGAAAGTCTGGTTAGTATTAATGATAATAAACGCATTTTACTGTGCTTTCGATATCTGCACTCTCTTTTGGATAATCACAAATTACTATCAACTTGATGGATGAGTTTTGAAAGTATTATTGTCTGGATTATCTGAGTTAATTTCTTATGTGCAATGATGGCTGGATGAAACGTTCAAATAAGTGTAACTGATAAATAGTCTCTTTTTCATCAAAAGATTTTCAGATCAATTATTCTGTCACGTACATACTAGTGAATTAATTGTTTGCCAAGGTAAACTAAAATTAGTGGGAATTCAGCCTGTCTGTCAACTATTTGACTGCTGTTTAATAGAGTAAAGACTTATATGTATAGCTAATTAGAGCGTGAATAGGCGTTTTCGGCGTATTTGATTCTAAGCATAAATGAAATTTACGGGGTCTATCTACGCTATAGATCATGTGAGTTCTCGACCAATTTTTCTTCACATTGCCAGAAAGATTAACGACCGTTTTTCACTTAGTATATGTTCACATTAACTCCTCACTATGTTTCAGAATAATTTATTTATCTCGTTTTAGATGCATTTGGTGATTTAAGAAGTCTTTCTTTGAGGCAATGAATTCATAGTGTGACTCAGCCTTAATTTTTTCACCTTTCTTATAGTGGAACAAAGCTGACAAAGAAGATTATTCCTCAAATCTTCAAAAGTATACCTACTGTGTCGCCATGAAAATCAATCGTCAATATCACCAATAGACAATTTTTCTTTCATTTGCATATCAACAGAAGTTCTGCAGCTGAAGATAATCTCAAGATGGTGTCATTAGGATGGATAATTTTTGAAAACAAATCTGTCTGCCTTTATCTCCATCTGAAATGAAAGTGATGATGACATGGAAATATTGTTCTCACTAATATTCTTTTTATGGTTATTATACCCAGTGGTGGAGAGCCAATTTTCCTTCTGGGTAGATTGGTTGTAAGTCTTTGTGTGCCTGTATGGATATACTGACGGCTTTTACAATCAAAAGAGACAGACTTTCGGATCTATTAGTACACGAACAGATTCTCCTCGATAGGCGACTAATGAGACAATTCAGATCTAAGTGTAGATTGAAGTCTACGAAAATTAGATGTGCAGTGTAGTCAGCGAATTTTAGTAAAGGTCACACTTCTGTGAAACTTAGTTGTTAGGAATAATAATAGAGCTTATATGACAAAAGTCCAATAGATTATATTGGTTCCGACATAAATAGATTTAAATTCAAATTTCTGAATGCACAGTGTAGGATATCAAATCTGTGGTTAGACTTTGTTGAGGATTTCCAGAGGAGACAGATGCTAAATGAAACTGATTTGAAAAATAGGCAGATCGGCCCTCAATTTTCTTCTGCTGAACAAGACTGTTCCCTAAATCTTACTTACATATCATCCTGACCATTGCCGCAAATGAAGACCACTACTAAATATGATCCAGTTCGCTAAAGAAATGGTAGTGAGAAATGAAGGATGACATACTGTCATTCCGCACATATATGAGTATGTAATAGTTCACAACTGGTTGGGATAGAACCCTTTCTACGTAGAAATCAGCGCCGTCCCTAATGCAACTCTCGAAATCCGGGGACCTTGTATCCCGCTTGGATGTAAAGAAATGAAAAGGCAATACAACTAGCTTACATATTTTACATTATCTTTTCCTACAAATGTATCTTAAGTAATTTATTAGTGGAGTGTATTTAAGAGATTGACTGAAAAAACAAGCATCACTATAGTTCATGTCAATTCTCTTTGAAGCTATCCAGTGTAACTGGAAAATTTGGATATTTCAAAAGAATATATTGTTATCGTTGACCTATGGCATGAATTACCATCTGACAAGATTACTGGAAATAATGTCAGTTATTCTTTCTATTATTATGCTTAAATGCCTTGTCATTCCTTTATTTTGATCGGTTTCATATTTTTCGTGTGAATTGACTTGACAAGTAAATGTGTGATTGGATTGTTCAGAATGTACTACGCAAATACATCAGAAAACATTTCCCAGATCAATTCGATCTTCGTGTATTAACCCCTCAGAAATACAAATCAGCACGAACAAATTGATGTTCAGTTTGTGATGAAATATGCGTACAGTAAGTTATTTTATTCATTTGATAACGCGTTAGATTGGGACCCATTACCCAAAATTTATACTTTTTGGAACCTATGAGGCAAAAGTACTTGTTTCGCAAAAGGTAATGCCGCTCCCAGTGAAACTGAAACTCGTCATTGAGTATTTCACTGAAATCACTGGATCAACTTTGCCTATTCAGACCACTTGTTAACTGACAACGGCATCATTCACACTTTTCTTCTTACAAGTGAATAATCCAATTGAGTTTTCTGAACAGATGGATTTGAACCATCTCGAAACTTATGAAAGGATTATTTAGCTAAGAGTAACTAACAGTTGAATTCAGCCTGTGGCATTCTGTCTTGTTGGAAGAGTGGTCAGCCAGGGGATGTATCGCATTGCCCAGTGAGTGATAGATGATGTTCCAATGAAGACTCAAACCATGCATTCATCATGTAGATATGACTATTCGTCATACATCTGCACGTTGGATGTTGTTGGTAATGCCTGTATTTTTCAAATAACCTAAAATTCCATTATTTGATATTACTCATTAAATGGTTAAAATGAAAATGAATGAACATTGAGTGTGTACATAAGTTATCGATCAGTTTTCATTTTTCAGCCTTCTGTATTCAACATATTTTCTCAAAAACAAAGTCGGAATTATGTCGGGTCTCAGCTAATTTGATTCGATATCATGCGTTGATTTGATTAACGGGTTAGGTACTTCACATGATTAGTAATGAATAACAACAAAAAGAATACCGCCGCTATAAGAAGAATATTAGTGAAACTATGGAATGACAATAGCGTGTTTATCAAGGTAGCTGTCGATTAACTCGTTTTCTTCTGTCTCACAAAACACGAGACATGACGACATCATTTTCCTCCTGTGCATATATAAAGTTGGGCTTAAAAAAGACATTTAAAATTGTTTCGCTATCTTTATCCAAGCGTTTAACGAACGAATACTGATGTTATTCATCTGCCTGATTATCATTCTGGTTTTACAAGCCTGTGGTAATTAAAGCGTCTTCTGATTTCACAAATACGAGAAGTTTCATTTCTGATTTATATTTTGAAATTTTTCCAAATTGAAATTCGCATTTTCCTGTAATTTTGAATATAAAGATGTTATTTCGATTGATAATGGCTGACAATGTAATTTAGGACGGCGTAAGATGGTTGTTAACTCCAACATAAACTGGATAAAGAGATATGCAAAAGTGATTGCAGAAAGGTTACTGCACACTTTTACCAATATCAACCTTAGCAGGCTTCATAGTGAAGATAAGATGGCCGGCGAGAATTGGCAACAAACAGTTACGGAAACAAAATGAACAAGAACATGTTGTCCAACAAGTAAGCAAGGACAGATTGGACACACGTTGAAGAAACTGTTCAGTCACATCACCCTCCACGCTATCTGAGGCATTAGTGGTTGACGTGGAGTGGATTGTGTGACTGAGAGATTGACAATGGTGCACCTGGCTATGGAGGGCCGCAGAAGTAAGGATGAAATGTAGATGTGCAATTGAAGCTCTGTGTTCAACTCTGAAACTAGGGAGTTGTGTATGGTAACCGTGTTCCTCATCCAGGTAATCTCCGTCATTGCAAAATACTGCTTGGCGAAATTTCGATCATCGACATTCAACACACAGAATTCAAGTAATAGTATGCAAAATTTGCATTTGATTTCATCATAAGCATTTAGCATTTGTTCTTTATCTGGCTATACGCTGAAGACTACATTCATATACTTCTCTCTATATTTCATTCTATTATTTGTATAATCAGTGCATTTAGATGCAGGAGGAATAGAAGGTCTTTGTGAGTTATTATAAATTCATTATTTATCCTTGATTCAGGGTATTTTCAATTCACATGAGTGGCTTCCGGCTAGGTATCAGCTTTTATCAGGGAAATTGCATACTTTGAGTTTGACTATTTACGTATGCATAAAAATGGGTGTAAGAGACATTGGTTTGCATAAACTTGTGAAAACGCTGTGTTGGTTCAGTAAAGTATGCTCAGTCAACTTAGCATAAAGTCAACTAACACCAACTTTCCATAGACTTATTACTTGCAATTGGAAGTGCAAAGCGATTGCAACAGGCTACTGCCCTCTTTTGTCAGTGTAAACCTTCGCAGGTTCCATAGTGAACACGAAATGGCTTGCAAGATTTGACAACAAGGAGTTGTTGTTCGGTCACACAGCGTTCCACGCTCTCTAGGGTTTCTGTGGCCGACGTTGAAGAGATTGTAGGATTTGGAGATTGACAATGGTGCACCTGGCTATGGAAGACAGTAGAAAACTGAATAGAATGAAAATATTCTGTTGAAGCTCTGAAGCTAAGGAAATACTAACAGTGAGTTGTGTATGGTAACCGTGTTCCTCATCCAACTAATCTCCGTCATTGCAAAATACTGCTTGGCGAAATTTTGATCATCGACATTCAACACACAGAATTCAAGTGATAGTATGCAAAATTTGCATTTGATTTCATCATAGGCATTTAGCATTTGTTCTTTATCTGGCTATACGCTGAAGACTACCGTTTTCCTCTCTTTAATTTCATTCTATTATTTGTATAATCAATGCATGTGGTGATATTTAATGAAGAATTATAATTACATTTAGATAAAGGAGGATTGCTATGGGACTGTGAGTTATTATGCATTCATTTTTCATCCTTGAATCAGGTTATTTTCAGTTCACATGAGTAGCTTCCGCCTAAGTATCAGCTTTGATCAGGGAAGGTATATATTTTAAGTGTAACTAATTACGTATGCATAAAAGAGGCTATACGAGTGACTGGTTTGCTTAAATTTATGAAATCAGTGTATTGGTTCGGTGAAGTATACGCAATCAACGTAGTATAAAGTCAACTTATAGCGACTTTCTATGGACTTATTAAATACAATCAGAAGTGCTTCTTCTTAACCCTTATTTCTTTTCTCCTTTAACACGTATGAAGTTTTGGTCATTTAGGTACCTGGTTATAGAACATAGTCTTGTTTCAAAATTTAATGCTCGCAAAATTTATAGATGTCGAGTAAAAGGAGACTGAGAAGGGAAAGATATTTTTGTTCACTCTGAGGAACGTTTCAGAAAAACCAAAGTTTTCTGTGTTTCAGGCATCTATTAGATTCGAATACATCGTATGTAAACTATTCGTGTTAAGGTAGAAATTCATCATGATTGTATTTGCAAATTTAATTTTCATATCACCATATTTGATTCGATATTTAGCGTAAAATACAACTAGGAAAACATGGCGAATACACCAGAAAACCTTCATTTCATTTTTACCTTAAAACTGAAAATTCTAAATTGATAATCTTTCTTACATTTTGTTGAAATATCAGTGAATTTTCAGTAGGTTAGATGAGCAGCGTATTTCATATTATCCCTTCCACACTTTACAAATATCCGATCAAGTTTGCGTGTACTGAAGTGACCTGAGTAGGCTACCTAAGTGGTCGGCTTGAATCAGTGAACTACCTGAATTTTGAGCCAAATTAGTGCATCGATTTTTATCTTTTTTTTATTGATTTAATCACAGAATGATGCTTATAAATAGCGAAATGTATTAACACACATTTTCATTTGACTTCCAACAAAATGTTGGGCATTTGTGTGATACAAAAGAAAAATATTACATGGTAATGGTTTTTTCTGACAATCTAAGATCATCGTGTCACGTGATGCACAACAGATTCTTGTTTTACCGTAAGATATACTGTTCCTTTTATTAAACCGAGAATTTTGCATATTGTGTAAACACTGTGCTCAGAATAAAACCGGTCATCACATATTGAAACACAGACAACTAGTCAGAAATCATTTTCAGTCCACTTACAATATATCTATTCAGCGTTTTAGGAAACAGCCTTTCGGAATTTGTCTTAGTTTGTTTCAAGTTTCACAATTATCCTGAATCATTCTTTGATAAATAGTCAGTGTGACTGACACTATTTCGCCCATTTTACTCTTAACATCTCTGACTACAGTTTCGTTTTAAATCACCAATATGAGTAGACACAGTCAGTTACCCTGATTCCGTGTTGCAACATTTTACTACCAGGTTTAATTGAGTGCATCGAAAAGCGTAAGGAAATTGTAAATGTATTTAGCACTGAATAATTTCACATGATATCTGATGTTCTATGCATTTTATGTAATTGGTGGATGGTGACTAGCAGTGGGATCCAGGATGCACATTTCGTCCTATTTGGGACTAGTCATCTGGATGTACTTACTGCATTTCTCAGTGAGTGATGATGTTCCCACCGAGGCTCGAACCCAGTGCCCATAGTTTCCAATGCCAAACCGTTATCCACTAGGCAACTTGGGCCACGAGAGCCACCTCTTGTGCAACGGGTCATATTAATTTTATTAAATTTCAGATTTTCCAAAGTGTGTTCACAATTCAATTAAATTAATATGACGCGTTGCACAAGAGGTGGCTCTCGTGACCTAAGTCGTCTAGTGGATAACACTTCGGCGTTGGAAACTATGGGCACTGGGTTCGAGCCTCAGTGAGAACATCATCACTCACTGAGGAATCCAGGTACATCCAGATAATGAGTCCCAAATGGGACGAAATCCGCATCCTGGATCCCACTGCTAGTCACCACCATCAGTTAAATACTAATTCAATGCACAGAAATCGTCGAGCATCTTCACAAGAAGCCGACATGTCGACGTGGGACCGAGCACTTCGGTCCACTCAATCGACAGGAAAATCTGAAATTCAAATAAATATGCATTTTATTGTTTGAAAATCTCATTAATACCACTAATATTACTTGTGAATGATAGCACTGTTATTCCAAACTGACAAATACTGAATTTAACTAACGCAGTATGTTGTTTCTAATATCTTAACCGGATTTGACTCATTACACTTCTTCATATTTCGCGAAATATACCAATCAGTTCATAAGGGAAAAACACAGTTTTCATGTTCAGCGGAGAAATATCTGTTTTCAACAACTGCATTTTTCATGCTTTATTGTCGTATTTATATTATGGAAAAGGGCATTAAGTAGCACTAGAAATTGCTCAGCCGATTTGCATTTGATAAGAATAAAAATAATTACAATGATGTATCAAGTGGGTAGAGTTGCAGTGAATGAATTACAGAATTTTAAAGATTATTAAATAAATGAACTGGTGTAAAGACTTCAAAATTGCAGGTCAAATGTTACCTTAAAAAGTAACAGTGTGTTAATGTAACAGTAAAGACAGCGAAGGTGGAATGAATTCAAATGGTGAAATAAAAATAAAATAAAAGAACATAACTATGACCAAAGTAAAGAGAGGGACTTAACAAAAGGTTTTTGAACACATAATTTAGGTTGCTGTTCATGGATAGTTAGAGCTTCGGTTATGCATAACTGGAGGAAACGTAAGCTTTTGGAGTGATTGCATTCCGTCCTGTAAATAACACTAAAAGGACGAATCACGTGGGGCTGAATGAAGTGACTCCAGAATGTGTTCACTTTTTGTCAACTAAACCAGGTAGTGTCCAGTTACAAGTTTTCCTTTTTTGCCTGGTTTATCTCATGTACACTGATCAATAAATGTCATAGATATTGTCTCTGTGAACAATAGACTACAAGACTTTTGACAATTTTTCATATGACTTTAGATTCTCCCAGTCCAATATGTTGTAAGTAATACATTTTAACTACAGTTTTGAGTGAATAAATATTCTGTTTGAAATTCTGTAATGATATAATGCTCAAAGTGGCATTGTTCCTAATCTAGCCAAATTTGGCTAAAAAAGTCTCAGAACTTTGCCAAATATACTTTTCAAGTACCTCGCTAATTTTTTATGATCTTATCATCAGTTTTAACAGAAATGACATCAGTATGGACAAAAAACTAAGACTTTTGAATATTTACCGTAAAATATTTAGTGATTGGATTTAAACCGATCAATGATGATTGTGGTAAGTCATATGCGTTTAAATTAAAGCATCACATCAACATATGGTATTTTGACTCCCATCATCCCAATCAGCGTTGGGAAAGAGATTAAAAATGCATGCACCTGGCTAATAACATAAATATCATGTAAGCGATTCTAAAGTGTTATTTTCTAATTCAAGAGAAGCTCTTGAGATTTTCATGGACACAAAACAACGAAGAGATTTCCATAATATTTGTTTGCATCCAGATACTGACTGTTTAATAACCATATATCTGTCAAACATTTTCTTTAAATTTCCGTTATTAATAATATTTACTAAGGAATATAGCCGAATTCGATGCCGAACCGGTAGTATGCTTGCCAGTTACACAGATGGTGCAGGACGCATTCCCAAACCTATCTTAGCTGGCAGTGGAGAGAGGAGGAAGAGGGAAGGTTAAGAGTGAAACCAGTTGTGAGTCCCATGTAAGTATAGGAACACAAAGGAATGAAACAAACAATTTAGAAGTAGAAACATGTACAGATTTCGAAAGAATAATATCTGTACAGACTCTGTAACGTTTTCGAAACTGATAAAATTAATTCAGGAAAAAGAGACTGTTAACCAGACTAGTTGACTTTTGTTTTATTCGAGAATTATTCCTCGGTGGATCGAATTCATTATCTTTGAGGGAAAAAGATATGCTCAAATGTGCAATGAGTACTTGGTGTCCGTTTTAGATCAATGACTTTGCAATCGCTATTCCAACTAGCTTGATATTTTTGTCATGAAATTTAAGACAAAAGGAGAGGTTATTGAATCGTTTAATTTGCCTTGACTGAAAGTTGACTTATCTGATACATGACTGTGCAGAAAACCAAGAAGTTTAACAGAGGCGCCTTTTCGGTGATTTCCATTTCAAAAGCTGTACAAGTGAAATCAACACACATATACACGCAATTTGACCTTATTAAAATAATCACGTAGTCCAATATCGAATTTCAGTCGAGAATAAAGGAGATAAAAATTTTAAAATTGACTAGAAAATTAATGAGTGTGATGAGAGACGAATATAAATCGCAGGAGGCATAGAGACTGTGAGAGGTTGGATTAGGCGATTAGTTGCCTGCAGCGTAAAATAGTTTATTTTATATCAAAGAGTGAGGTGATGAGGTGGTACTTGGAAACATTGAAATATTGTTTTATAAGTGAAGATGATAGAAAATTCCAAAAGAAAAATGAGACAAACCGTGGTAGATCACTTATCTGTGTACAAGTTGAACCAGATTCTTTTGAACACTAAGCTCTGGTTTCATGATGCACAAAACAGCGACTTCTGCATCTAATCTCTTTAACGTCATCATATCGAATTAAGATTAATTCTAATTGCGGTAGCTTATATATATATAGACTGCTACTGTACAACTCAAGGGAAATAAATCACTGAAAAGGTATTCTCAGTGTTACACCTTTTTTGTTGGCAACAGTTATCTTGGGGCTATTAACAGTAAAACATATAAAAGCAGCCGTATAAAAGAGGATCAATGCTAGACTTATAATTATTCGTTATTTGCATTTAAAGTATAATTTAGAATTTCATCAGTATGCGGTCACTGCGCTCGACTGTTTGTCATCACTATCAGCTGACCTTAAGATTTCCCACAAGCACATATTCCCTCTTAGCATGATCTCCCCAGTGCCACTTTCCGACACTTTATTTGGATTGCATAAGAAATCCTGGCATATAACGCCGCTCAGTGACAATTTCAGTGTGTATTTGTAATCTACCTATGCTTCCGTCTGCGAATACGTTAAACAAGAGGTATTGGCTGGTAATTTGACAGTTCATGTGTTGCCAGCCATTTGGTCTTAGGTAGCCAGCAAAAGGGAGCAGGTTTTGAGGGATATGCAAAACTTGTTGTCAATGCTCTTAGTCACGCTAGCGCCAACTGTTTGGATCAAATATAATCAAAGAATTAATAATAATGCTGAAAATTCGAGGTCTTGTCCTTGTCTTATAAAAAGAAAGAAGATATTCCTCCTTCTCAATATGATCAAATTTAGACTAGACTATCATACCTCGGCTGCATAAGAGAACGTAATCTGGACGTTCTAAATACAATTCCTGATATTTGTCAGTAAAAATATAAATTTTGCATATGGTTTTATTAACTTTCAGAAAACAGGGAATATGTAGACTGTGAGAATACTTTGTATTTATGCCCTTATTGAGATTTAATCGAATCAGGTACAATAACCACATAACAAATTTTGACTTTAGCAGAAACGAAAATCAGAAATCAAAGGGTATTTGAAAATAAGAAACTGATTGAACTGCCTAAAGAATGAAAGACGGGTCACACAATTTTCAGAAGACAGAAAAGTCACTGAAAACTGCTTGAAATTATCAAACAGCTTCTTAAAATCCTCCTTATTAGTACATAACTGTGAAATGTTAATGTATAATTCACTTCATCAGATTTCAAATAAGAAGTTTTTAATTGGATATATAATGGGTTCGTTGCATGCGAATAAAACAAACGCAACTAGTTCGTCGCTCTTTCTACGAGAAAGCCTGTGAAGAGTATAATATCGCGTGAATAAGCGATGGAATTTTAAGAAACGAATGGTGTATATATACCGAATGTTACCTAGATCGTGTTAAATTTCATCGCTGTAGAGTCAAAGCAACTTACGGAATGTATTAGTCCGTTTCGGATTATATAAAGTTATAAGATTTACTAATTAGGAATCCTGCAAAATAGTTTTCTCATCTGAAAAAAACAATTTAACATTTTTAAATTCATTTATCTACTTGCATGGAGAATAAATTCAGACAATATTACCACGGTAGTTCATCCCCGCTTTCAGCATGCTTCAATTCTCGCATCTAGGTCTCACATTAGTGAAGAACTTTTCAAATCTAATAATGTAAAACTGAAGAGTGTTCAAATGAATGCATTGAATGTGAATGGGAAATAAAGTTAATTACAAATAAAGGTGTCCTTGCGTATTGATATTAAATGCATTAAGTTTAGGATTTTGAGGAAACTCTTCTGAAATGCAACATGCCTACAGAATTATAATTAAGCATAAGAAACATCACCATAACAAAAATAATCTCAGTTGCGTATGCAGTATATTATTTTATAGCATCAGCATAAATGATATTTTATATTGGATTTCAGGTGAATTCAAGTGCTACGAAGAGGATATAGAGTATGTTATTCATTACTAAATTATTGAATTACTGAAAGAAAGAATATGGTCATCCAGAAATGTTTTGCAATTAAAAGAATTTTTTATCAGAAAAATATGAAATCGTTTACTTAAGACGGTCTGGTATAGAGGTAACAACCGACCATTGGTTTAAAAAGCATGACAGCTAGTTCAAATCGCTATTACCATCTCGGTGGGTGCGCAGTGATGAAGAGTCCCAAAGCAGGACGAAACAGCTGTCCAGTACACCCAGGTTTTCCAATGGTTCTCTAACTGACGTCACTTCATGATGAAATCCTGTCACCTTCCATAGTTATTGTTTTCTCCTCACTGTAAACCCAATACCCTTTTAGTCAAAGGGTTTCATCGGATTAATACGAAAAACCACATTTATTGACTTGATGTACCTGAATACCTGATTAGCTGATACACTAGAAATTCCCGGTTTTGAATAAAATACCAGCCTGAATATTGTACACCTTCACCACTCAGGTTTCAAAATCAAGGGGTACACCGCACACTAATGTCACAGCACCGTCGTTTTCACCTTAGTATTATTAATCAGTGGGTAGTAATGTCAGCAAAATATTTAAAATCGTATTTCCCCCACGCAAACATCATAAGACAATGTGTAGAATAAGTACATTGATATGTTTAAGTAATCTTTATCAACAAAAGAACCATCACTGAAGAAAGAAAATTCCTTCCGATAACGTTATCGGATTCTCTTCTACATTTATGCATTCGTAATAACTGAAGAATTATTTTTATTGACAGCACGGATGCTTTCTAAAATGTTATTGAATCATTGATATGCTGGTAAAGTGCCGGTTGTATTTTCACATGACTGGTTGTGACTACCCGCTCAAAGATGAGGTCACTAGGCTATTTGCCTGTTTTCGTACCAATCATTTTAACTACTATTGCGGCGCCAGTTATATTGTCCGTTTCTCCAGAAACGTAATTTTACTTGCTTGGGGAAAACACGCCAGTTTGGCTAAATGAAGGTGTAGTGAAAGCAAACAGCAGATTGACACGAGATTACTCGATCAAAACAGACCATGACACTTTCACTGGAGAGTCCTTTTCCATCATCTATCGACTATCAGATAGATTGGTGAAGGCCGAAAATATAGAATACTCCAAACACGGGAGGCTCCTACAACTAGGTTAAGTAGCCGTCGCCCTGTGTGCACATGAAACGTGTTGAGCCACTACTGCTACCCTGACCCGTTTGAGCATGACCTGCCATGCTGTATTTAGACATTTATTCACTCCTTGTTATGGCATAACTATAAAAAATCAGTTTCACACGTAAATTTAGTCATTTGCTTACGCAGTGACACATAGTTACTCACACTATTTTCCCTCTACGGTTTCGGCATTATCACTCATCCCTATGAAACTTATAATAAGAATGAATATGAGTAGTAGTCATCAGCATTCATCAACATATATTAGTTATAAACCATGCCCATTTACATAGGAATAATGGGGTTCAATCTTGTATTACATGGCAAAGTTAAACTTTAAGCACCACTAACTACCAATCAGCTAACGAGCTTCATCGGACCAGTCACATGGAAGAGGGATTTATGATTAAAGAAAACGTATATTTATGGGAAAAAAGCATAAAAACCTCATAAAACCGTTACATAATCGATCCTTTACTAACGTTTGACAGAAGCATTTCTCAGTTTAGCATAGGAGTGTCAATAGAAAAGCCACATGGCATTCTGTAGATATATTCATCCAAATGACTATAAATTCTATCCTTTTGAGTTACTTCTATGGCCCTTATCCTATTCTGGAATTATCCCCAAAATCCTTCTATAGAATTCGTATGTTTCCTTGTATTCGGATCCATAAAATCACTAGAATGGTCCATTTTGTGGTGAATATATCTAAGAGATGACAGCGAGTTATAACCTTTCCATTCGTCAGTATTTACTATGGATCCCTGTTTCACCAATCGAGTGACAATATGCACTAAGGTAGTAGACTTTCTGTCTGGTATTCTCTCCACGAATCCTTTCCTCAAGGAGGTGTCATATAAACCTATCGCTCAAACATTGTTGCCTCGCTCACGGACACGGTTGTAACTTTTCTTCAGAAACACAGTTTCGTTCACGTGTACGATGATACCTTCTCCGCCTAACAACGAAGTAATTCCCTCTATTTTCCATGAGGCGATATCTCTGCAGTGCTGTTACCACTGAACTGCTGACACGCGGCTGTTTACAGTTTCAGCAGCTGCGCCCCTAACAGGCTGTTTTAAAACCCAGTAGTTACAAATATACAAAATCTACGTTAGGGGGAGCTGCGACCCAGCAAAAAATGTTCCTATAAAATACTAAAATTATCAGTTTACTTTCCCTAAAATGAATTCGTCTCAAGCAAATTGCACAACGATGAACATATCCATCAATCGACCTGGTAAAGCTTTCTAAACTCATTACACCACCATATGAACAAATCCTCCCCTTCTTAAGCAACTCCAAATCCAGGTGATAGGGCAAAACTTTATCCACTTAGCTGACAAAATAACTATTGCATGCAGCTGCATTAAAAACAATATTTCCCTAGGAGGGTGACACTTATCTGTTGAAGGCCGTCACGATGAGATGTTAAGAAGATATTATTTAGCAGAAGTCATTCAGTTATTGGAACAGTTTGAAGAAAATTAACTTGAATATTTAGCCAGCCCCAGCTGATTCTATCACTTAAATATAACTCCCCAGAATCAACATGTTATTCAAGCACTGCTTAAGACTCTGAGAATATCTGTGCAGAATATTGGAGGCTTTCTGTAAAACCTATAAAAGTAAAATACTTTGATTGTCATTAAAGTTGACATTTTCATTTTCATTGCTGTTCAAATGACAACAGCATTCGCTGCATTTCATTGAGAATGTGAACAAATGATCACTGAATAATATGGTGTTCATTCAATGAGTTATAATAAACTAATGGACATAATAGTAGGTTCACGTAACAGATTTACATTTAAAGTTTGTAAGTCTCTATTTTGATTTCTACACTGTCTTTTTCTTTTTAGCAGAGCATTGGCAGCGCGTAAGGCGAGATTAGAAGGAAAAAACACCACCGATTGAAAATTCTGAACGCTTTGATTTGAATAATAATAATAACGACACTAGCTCTTTTCTGAGCATTGATCATAAAGTGTGCGAATGAAAATCACTTATTTAACCATCATATGTAATTGATTACCTTAATCATAAATGCATGCTGATATCTCAATTATATACCTGAGTTGTTATCTGTATGAAGTATTGTTGTCGAGAATGTTTGGATATCACTAACTGCTTTTGTCTACTGACATGTTATCGCATACGTTTTAACTCACAGGAAATGCATCCATTGAGATGTCTATCACTGGCACATTTGATTGTCATCTCTGAGATGAAGTCACATTAGGCAAACAGGATGTTTTCAGACTCTTGATACAGCATGTTCATCAATTATCGCTTCAGTACTCTATAGTGATGCAGTTCAGATACAAAATAAACACCGAGGAAGAGCTTTCGTGTCTTTTAGTCAATTTCACCATTTCTGATGGGTTTCTCCATTTAAAAATAAATATGAATTTCATTATGGCTGCAGTATTATTCCGCTATAGACATGCACTGTATATGACCTTGTTACAGATCATGGAGAATGAAATCACAATATGCAAATATAGTGTTTGCAGAGTCTTGATACAGCATGTTCTTCACCACTTATCACTTCAGTTCTCTACACTGATGCACTTCAGATATAAAACGAGCACCCAGGAAGAGCTTTTGTGTCATATAGAGGACTTCATTTTAAACGGAACTATTCGGTATTAAGTTTGTGAAATACCACCTAAAATCTAAGCTGAACTGAATCGTCTCAAATATTTAAGATAGATAATAAGTAATATCTTATTGTATTTGTAAAATTATTTAAATATTTTCTGAAAATAAAACACTTGAAGGAAGTGAGTGCTTTTTCATCTACGCCTCAACGTTTTTCCTTATATCTAGTTACCTGTGAAGTTAAAATACCTTATTCGATAGTATGCTTCTCCAGACGGTTGTGAATTTTACCTATTGTTCACTTGCTTTATACTGTCTGAACTCACTGCACGATGGGATAGCTAGTTTGTTGGCTTTTCTGAAAACTCATCAAAGATTATTATTATTATATCCTTTAGTTCCTAGAGGAACATAGGGCTTCAGCTGCGCGTCTCCATTGCCTTCTGTTTTCTGCCAACTTTTTCATCCTGCTCCAAGTCCTCCCACAGGCTTTCATCTCCTCTTCACATGACTTCCTCCAAGTCACCCTTGCACCGACGACCGACTCGCCGCTTCCCTTTCGGGTTCCACTCGAGCGATGGCTTGTCTAGTGACGTCACTTGATGGTTTCCTCAGATTATGGCCAATCCATCTCCGTTTCTTCCTGCCTATTTGTCTCACAGTCGGTTCCTGCTGTGTTGGTTTGATCATTGCCAGAGATCCCTGTTGCTGATCTTTTCTGGCCATCTCGGAGGTAACTGCTGGGTGACGTAATGTATCAGACAGACCGTCGAGTGGAATCTGAATGGGAAGTAATGATTCGAGCATCTGACAGTTATATGGAGGGGACTGTTTGAGTAGTAATTGAAAAATAATAGGAAATCAGGAAGCCACCTAAAGCAGGTTTTTATAATTGGGTGGAATGAATTTGTTACTCTTAAACCACCGGAACAAAAGGAGCAAATTATAGTGATAATATAATTAATAAAAGTGTAATACTAATGAAAATTTAGATTCACTTTTGTTCCAGATGCTGAGAATTCCAAAATTTACATAATATACTGTTTGAACTGAAGCTTTTACTATTATTATTATTACAGATATTATTATTGCTTCAGGTTATTTAATAAAAATGAGACTAATTCGAGCGTTTCCTCTCATAGGTCAAAATACACAATCGACCGTTATGAATAGTCATCATTAATTATATGAAACACACCGTAGTTCATTATTCAGGTTCACAAATAGAAGGAAAACAGTCTTGATTTCTTCCAGAAGATGTGGAGTCAAAAATCATCAGTAGGTCTCTCAATAGAAAACTTGATTAAAAGGGACCACGTTTTAGTTTGGTGGCTCATTATGAGTCAGTATTTCCTACATGACCTAGAAACCAGGAATTTCCCCCCAATGCAGAATAAATCTCAGCTAAGTGAATTTATACCAACAACTGTCCACCATTTTTAACACAGTTTATATTATCTTAAACTTGTAGACAAGACCGCCGACCTTAACCGGTGATATTCCTAATCGTAGTGGACTGGTTTATGCGTCAAACGGCGTGAGCAGGCTAGAAGACAGAAACACGTAGGAGCGATAAGGAAATCCAAGAAGATCTGCACTTCGCGGATGATTTATGTCTAGTGTCAAATGAATTCGAAGACCTGCAGGCAAAGATCAACAAACTACCTGATGAAGTAGAACAAACAGAACTTCAGGTAAACATAAAGACGATGTAAGTAATAAAGATAACCAGCCAAACACAACAACAGCAAGCATAAATCACTATCAATCTGAGAAATTTACTAGAGGACACTCCCTTCACTCATATAAGAAGCATCATTTCGACCACAGGTGGAACGGATGAAGAAATCACAGCCAGAATAAGAAAAGAGAGACAGACCTTCACCAATCTCAAAGCAGTTAGAAAATCTTCTTCACTCAAGAACGAAATTCGGATATCCAACACCATTGTTAAATAACTTCTTCAATGTAGGTCAAAAATCTGACGCGCCAAGAAAGACATAGTCGATAAGCTACTGTAGATTCTTATCAACAGATGCATTCTCTCCATATCACAGGTCAAATGGACAAAAAGAATGAGGAACTAAACTATGGGAAAAAACAATCAAAGAATCTATTGCTCAATAAATATGCCGAAGAAAATTGGAATGGAACCTACACGCACCGAGAAGACTGTTGAGTGTTATCTTGTGCCACGCCTTCAGGTGTAACCTGAATGGGGAACGACATATTGGTCGACGGAGGGCAACATGAAGGAGCTCGCGGGGGAAGAGATGAGAGACTGTAGGCAATGATAAACTCAGATTAAGAGAAATTCAGAAAACAGAACAAAATAGAGATGTGATGCTGATGCTTTAAATTCCCCTTGGAACCCAAGGGAGCAATAATGTTAATCTGGTAATTTATTGTCTTTGTAAGATAACCACATGAATAGTTGTAGTTTCTAGTGGCTCCACATTCGGCATGGAGGATAAATCTTTGCGCTCCCAGTAGTTCTTATGTTACTTCTCATTATGACATCATTAATCGGAGTTCTCAGTCATATCTTGAAGTGTTAGTTGAAATAAAGCCACATATCCCAGTATCTTCTTAACTGCAAAAATTTTGAATGATCAGCACTATACTGTCGTTGAGGTTTGCGTACCGGTTACGATGATTCCGTATTCAAGTGTCAGCTAAGGGTTTTTGTATTCAATGAAAAGTAAAGTGAATTATGATCACTGAACAAAATGATTGAATTATTTATGGGCTTTGAAAAACGCTCGTCAACTAGTAGTTTATTTTAGTAGGAAGCATGATGGATTGAAAAATTACACTGGGGAAATGTAAAAAAAGAAGTAAATTCCCTCATTTATCTGAGTGGCACCGATGCCGATGTAAAAGTAGGTTGTGGAAGGCATGGAGACTCTCATCACTCTACTTTACAGTTGTATACTTTTTAATGACATCTGGTCTATATCAAGCGAAAACATTTTCTGAGTCCCGACAAATAATTTTCCTGTTAGTATTTCTTACTGCTGAAGTTATAAGGTGAGCTCATTCAACGACTGGATGGGCCAAATTTTCATTCACTATGGTTCATCTACTCCTGTCAGTTTTTAGTAGTTTTAGATTTCCGATTACGATATTGGACCTCATCACGAACCTTAAGTTGTTACTGGAGAGTTCTTAACTGGAAGGACCTGGTTTTATACCCAAATGGGTGCGTACTGATGAAGAGTTTCAATAAGGGCGGAACAGATGTCCAGTACTCCCAAGTTTTCCGATTCTTTTCTAACCAATTTCTGCTTATCACGAAGTCCTGTAACCAATTAAATTTCTGCAAACCAACACTTGAGTTTCTTTTTGTTTGTTGTGATAAGGCTTTATAACCACAGAACTTCTTTCCAACACTTACCTGCTATTACACTTGTCTTCTTTTCTATGTGCATCCTAACTTAGACTGATTCAATGAATACTCATCTTATTATGTAACTATAAGTCTATTATTCAACTTTGCTTATGCTTCGAATAATGTTAACAACCACGATCATTACACCTCATCCTTTTGGTGCTATCCTAGTTCTTTAAAGATACTATATGAATGCAATCGAACGATCAGAAATGGAGATGGACTGGTTGAAAACAAACTCGGTAACGTATTTCCTGTTTATTTCCTACATATATAAGTACTGTTATTACATTAGTAATGTTTGACTTTGAAAGGAGTGGTATCTGGAGATTTATATTTCATAAAATATCCGTTTTCTAAATGCACCTACCCATGAGTAAGTGCAAGGAAGTTTGAAAATTTATAGGAACACAACTTATTGTATTAATTCATGCCTCAAAGTCAAGAAGACTTACAAGTTGTAATGAAATCTACAGCTTCTTTGACGAACAATAGAAATCTTAACGGCGGTTTTTTCTAGCTGATGTCATCATCATAAATCTGTTTATGCAACATAGTTTCAACGCTGAAACAAGCTTGGGAATTTCACCAATTTCCTTCATTCCTTCATGTAACTTGTGGAAAATGGAGCTTCAACACAAACTAAAGTTTTAACAGCCTATATACTCTCATAACTTCTCAATACATGTTCAGTCTGAGATCCACTCCACAGCCTAGCGAACGATGTCACTCACTTGTCTCTCCACGGTGTGTCAAATCCATCTCCATTTTCTTCTACATGTCTCTGGCCTACAGTTGAATTCTGGATGCATAGTCAAAGTCCCCTATTATTTCTCCTTGCTGCGGTCCTAAAATTCAATATCTAGCCGGTGAAACCAGCTGTTGATGAAGGTCTGTAGGCTATTGGAAATGCTTTTTGTGA